GAATTTTTGTTTGAAATTTAGAGCAAGTATCTATGAGAACCTACCTACCCTAAGGAATTCGTCTGTGTAAATGTCCTTTAAAGTAGTGCCATCCCACCATTGAGAGGTAGGTAGCACCACCGTTGGAGGTGTTCGGGTCAATTCGAGGTTCGGGACATGGTGATCACCAGAGCAATGGGAAGACACCTTAGAAGCTACCCTCATGCCAGGTTCCCGGATCATGAGGACTTACTAAGACATCCTCTACTCGACGATCACCTTTCGAGGCAAGGCAACAGTGAGGCGTACCCTAGGGGTGGTGTGTGATTTGTGTGTCGTTTTCATTTATTTTTTGTCTTTTGTCATGTTATTGGTGATCTAGCGTTTGTTTTTATTTTGTCCATTCGTTCTTGCATGCCTTGATTAACAATTAAAAGTGCGAGAAAAGTAAAGGTTCTAAAGCTATTACAAAAGGCGCGGGTCCACATCGCCAAAATTTCTTGAACCCGATTTGACAGAAAAATAAAGAATTAAAAATGCGAAAGATTAAAATGTTACATGGCTTTGGGAGAGGTACATAAAAATTATACGGAAAAGAAATAAACATGCGAATTAAATAAGAATTAAAACGAGGGCGTTGGACCCTTTTTGCAAAATTGAATTGAATGATTAAATTGATTAAGGAAAATAAATTATTTTTTGGTTTTTTTGTATTTATATGATTTTAATGCAAAAGGAATTAATTGAAATAAAATGCTAACCCTAATTCTAGTTGTTTTTAGTTTATTAAGAAAATATTAAATTTTAACCTAAAATTAAACCTAATTATTTTACATGCAATTTAATTATAAAAATAAATAATAGGGAATATTTAATTATTATGAAAGAAAAGAAAAAGGATAAAAAATTAACTAAACCCTAGTTCTACCAATTTTAAATTAATTAAGGAAAATATTACAATTAAACCTAATTTAATAACTAAAGTTAATTAATATAATTTATTTACAAAAAATACTAGTTAAATAAAATATTTATTATTTTTATCTTTTCTGATTTTTTTATGTGTTTTTTATATATTATGAAAATATTTGAATTAAAAAAAACTAATTAAAATAAAGACAATAATTAAAAATAATATCAAAATAAGGAAAAGAAATAAAGCAAACCTAGGGGGTTCTGCCCCTGATTTGGGAGGGTTTTCTTTTAGCAATCTGGGCCCAATGAGCTTCAGGCCTGGTTGACTTGTCCACTCACGTATCCAAGCGTTGACTCACGTGTACCATGCTCCTCAAATCTATGCCCTTGAATTGATGAAATTGAACGCGTGGACGGTTTGATGAAGGAACGTATGGTGCGTCTTCAGCATTGAAACTGCATAGAAACATTGATTAAAAAATAACATGGAAAGAGGGTGGGGACCTGGGGTTCGAACCCAGGTCCTGATGATTACCACCCAAGCGCTTCACCAACTGCTCCACTTTGTTTTCTTTGTATATTATATAATAAGCAATCAATATAAAACAAAACAAACGCGTTAGTGGATTCTTGGCGCGAACTTTCAAACGGACCAACCGCTGATAGCCACCTAAGCGTCTTCCTCGTTGGCTTGTTTTTTCCTGAAATACAACAAACATAGGCAACGGTTTTGAACCGTTCTAACAGGCATCATTAGAGAAAATAGCGAATAGCACATGGGCGAATATAAATTGTTCGGACTAGGGCCATTAGAATCGTCTCTCTCTCACGATTCCAACGACGTATCTCTCATGGCCTAATTGTTCCAGGTTTGAAAACCCCTAAATCAATTTCCACGGAACCCTAATATGCTCTCATGGTGGATCCTTCGTTTTAGCATGAAACTCCAATCAAATTACGCAGGTAGCTTGCAAACATCATTCTAAACACAAAAACAACAATGAAACATGTTAAAAACGCATGAATGATGGAAAACGATTTTGGAATTTTTCTTACCAACTTCAATGGTGATTTCGTGTTTTCTTGAGTATGGGACTTAGGGAATGATTGGAAAACGTTCTATGATCCTCAAGGAAGCTAATGGAACAACTATTTGGCCTTGAATTGTCCTAGAACTAGGTTTTCAGATTTGAGTTTTCTTTGAAAAATTTCAAGTTTGTGTAAGGATTTCTGGCGCAGCTTTTTGGTTCTGAGGCATTAGGTCTTGCTTGTGTATGTATATGAGAGTGATTAGGGTTGAAAACTTGATCCAAAACCTTTGCATTCATGGTTTGTAAGATTTGATTTTTCAAGATCTTTTTTCAATATTTTTTCATGCTATTTGATATCAAATCATGACAAAACCTTCTAAAAATGATTATGCACGAATCTTGAGTGTCCAATGAGAGTATTTTCTGCACAAAAAGATTTGATTTCATTAGTTTAGTATTTTTTTCATATTTTATTTAGTTTAAATGAATTAATTGTAATAAAAAATTCAAATAAATAAATAAAAATAATAAAAAACTTCCCTTTGGGCCAAATGGTCGTGTGCATGTCTTGGATGATGAATTGTGGAAGAAAAAGAGGCCCATTAGCAATTTTAGGTCATTTGAATCAATGTTGACTTTTCAAAATATCCAAAAATTTCCCAACTTCCACAAGGCATAACTTGTTCAATTTTTAAGCTTTGCTCATGTTCTTGGACATTTTGGAAAGGTCTTTGAGTCCTCTAACCAATGTATTTGGTCCCATGGCATTTTGATTTACCAATCTCAAGTTATGGCCTTTTACTTAAAGTCCCTTTTTGTTGACTTTTGAAAATGACCTATAATGTTGAAATTGATAACTTTTTGTAAGAGCATTTCTTGGACTTGGAGTATGAAGAGGAGTTGTAGGAAATGTCTTTCTATTCAAAATGAGCTTTGGATGGAATTTTCCTGATAATCCATGTGAAAGTTATGCCCTGGTCAATTTACAGTTGACTTTTTCAACTGTCCAAATAAGGAAACTTTTGCATCTTGATGATTTTTGAGCCAAGCTTTGAGAATCATGATCAAGCATTGATCAAATGATGTTTGTGGCTTCAAAATGAGATGTTGACCAAAAATTTGAACTTTTGACTGCCAAATGACCATTTTGCCCCTGCAGTTGACTGTGGAGCATTTAGGGTTTTTGACTGTGCAATTTTGTGCTGAAAATCTTGAAACTTGGTATGAGGATGCTTGACCATATTTGTAGGCATGTGGGGCTTGATTGGACCCTTGGAAACTTCATTTTCTTGATCAGAACCAAAACCCTAATCTTGACTGTTAGGAGGCCCTTGAACTGTGCAACCCTTGGGGAATTTTGAAGCATGACTTGGCAATTTCTTGAAGAATATGGGAGGGCAAATTTTGGGGGTACAACAGCTGCCCATGAATAAAAGTACTCACAGTAATATCTTCGACACCAATATGGCTATCTAAAACCAAAGCTAATGGTTCACCATACCAAGCATCAAACTAGAAGCTGATAGACTGACCATTACCAAGCATCAAAGTAGAATTCTCATGAATGAAAAATAACCTCTTTCTTGATGCTAGAACATATAGAAGAAAATATGTGATGAGTAATGATATTTCTCTTTCGCATGACTCAAGACCTAAGCAAAACAGCCCAAGACTCGTCAGAATACAGAAGATCCCAACCCTTCTTAAGATTAGTGGCCTCATTGAGAGCAACCAAAGAACGAATCCCAAGACCACCTTCTAAAATAGGCAGACAAATGGACTTCCAAGAGACAGGGATTGGCTTCCGCTTGAAAGTGTCTCTGCTCCAGATGAAATTTCTAACAGCTCTCTCCAACTATCTAATGAGCGAAACTAGCCATGTGTAAACTGACATCGAATGAATAAGCATATTGTGGTCAGTGGATTTCACAAGCTCAACTCTACCAGCAAAAGTTAACAACGACCTTTTTCCAAGATGCAAGCTTGTTGAAGACGTTATCCGCAATCGGCTGAAGAAACTTAACTTTCAGAATCCCCTTGAAAATGGGCACCCCCAGATAAGTAAATGGAGCAGAACCAATTTCAAAACTAGAAAGCACCGACAAAATATTAAGCCTGACATTTGACATAGCTCCTCCATAAATAAAAGATTTCCCACAATTGACAACCTTCCCATAAATCTTAGAATAATCTTTGAAAATCGTAACCAAGGCTTTGATATTAGATATTTTGCCTTTGCAAAATAAAAACACATCATCCATATAAAGAATATGCGAGGGAACCATAACCTTCCGCGGACCAGCAATCAGATCAATCTTTCCCAAGGAAACTAGCTTTAAAATCTTCCTACTGAGCACGTATTCCGCAAGACGGAACAAAATAGGGGATATGATCCCCTTTACGGACCCCTCTGGAACACCGAAAAAACCATGTAGTGAACTGTTAATAGAAATAGAAATATAGACAGGGTGGAGGATATTGCTAATTCATTGGCAGAATTGAGTATTAGAACTAATTTACTGGAGAACTTTCAGAAGAAAACTCCAGCTCAAAGTGTCAAACGCTTTCACAATATCCACTTTAAGTGCGACATTACCACACCAAACCTTTGAATCCATTAGGTTAAAAGCTTCTGACGCCAATCCAATACAATCTTGAATACTCTTCCCTTTGATGAACCCACGCTGCTCCGGAGAGACAAGCTGCGACATTAAGGGACTATCCTATCCGCGAGAATTTTGGAGATGGTTTTAAACTTGAAATTGGAGAGAAAAATTGGCCGAAATTGGTTCAGAGAATCCACATTGCTACATTTCGGAATTAGCACCAGAGTATTGGAGTTGAAACTTGGAAGAATCCAACCCATAGAAAAAATCTATATCCCAACTTCAAAAACATCTTGCTTGATAATATCGTAGTAAATGAAGCCCCGAATCCGTTAGGACCGGGAGCAATATCACTATTCAGGGAGAAAACAGCCGCAAAAACTTCCTCCATGGACGAAAGCATGGTTAGAAGCGAATTCATATTGTCATTAACTAATCACAAAATGGTCTCTTCAATGAAAGCATTACCCTACAAAACAGAAGTATTAGGAGAAAAAATGTTTTGGAAAAAATTGACAATGTGATTTGCAATTTGGGAAGTCTCAGTATAACATTCCTCTCCCTCCCTAAGCAAAGTGATAGGCTTGTAAGCATTTTTTATTTTGGTAATACGATGGAAATAAGCAGTATTCTTATCACCCTCCAGATGCCATTGAATTTTATACTTTTCTTTCCAATAACATTCCTTAATGTCCAAAGCATTCGATAAACTAACTTGGGCCTCAAACTCCATCTTCTTAAATAAATCTTCCTCCCACGAAGGAATAGGTTGAGCATGGATATCCTTCATCTTGTCTTCGGCCAACTTGATGTTAAGAGTAATATTTCCAAAAGAAGAATGATTCCACTTTCTAAGACAATGCTTCAGTAACTGCAGCTTCTTATAGATAACAAGCATAAGACAACCTATATCCTTCTGTCTCCAGACATACTCAATAACTATTATGCAATCTTTATGCATGGTCCAAGCTTTAAGAAACCTAAACTGAGACGCCTTCTTATGGGACTGGATTTGAACATCGAGAAGAATCAGAAAATGATCAGAGCGTAACTTCGGAAGCATTGAGATAGAAGAGACAATACAAGTGTTAATCAAAATCTGATTAGCAACATACCTATCCAACCTACTTTCAATAAAAAATGGATGAGAGCGCTTGTTGGACCAAGTGAAGAAAGCACCTTTGGTCGGGATGTGTATAAAATTGTTAGAGTCAGTCCAAACCTGGAAATCATGCATTGGACTCTTGGCTAGAGCATTCCTACTATGGTGTTCATGAGCACCAATAATCACATTGAAATCCCCAATAAAAGACCAAGGAATATGATGATTGAGATGGATATTTTGAAGGTCCTCCCAAAGCAGTCTCCTCTTTTGAAGATTGTTTGAAGCATATATAGCCGCAAAAGCCAGAGAGGCAATATCAACCAGAATAGAAAAAGCGGCAAATTAATCCGAAGACCCAATAATAATAGGAGTAATATTATTGTAGCAAAGACACCACAAAGAGGGCTGCAGGTATTGATTATTGGCAAATAACTTGTAACCAAGCCTACCAAACCAATTACAAGGAAGCTTGTCAAAGGAGATTTTAGGTTCTGCAACAAAAATGAAATTAGGTTTGTGAACAACAAGTAATATTTTCAAAGCTAATCTCAATGAATCCTTAGCTATCCTCTTATATTAAAATAAATTCTCTTCATAAAAAAGGATTTTTAAGGCCTGCTTGAGACCTGGTGCAATATTTTTGTTTGTAGTTCTGAGGCATGTGATTCTTTATAAGAATGGAAATAGAAGCCGAGAAAGCCTGTTTATTGGTACTATTATTCGGATTCTCCGCTTTTGTCTCAGCTGCGAGAGTCTCCCAAGATTTCCACAAAAAAACTCCACCCTAACTAACCTTAGCAGTATCACCATTCACAGAGGTAACATGATCTTTAACCATTTGTCTGTATGACTTCATCTCTTAAGAATTTTTTTAAACCTGCTTATAAAAATCACTTGATTCACTCTCACACGACTTTGTCACTTCTCTTTTCACTATTTCTCTTCAAACCCTAAATATTCCCTAAAGAAGTTATGAACTCTCAAAACAAAATTGTTCATGAAAGACTAGCTCTTGCTAACTCTAAACTTGTTCCTCATCTTCAATTGACTTCTCGTAGTCATGATCAAGAAAGTATAGGAGAACAATCTTATGATGCTCCAGAGGTCACCATGTTCACAGTGTTAGATTCCTTAAACATTCTATGAGAACCTCTTGTGGATTTTCAAAATCTCAAGGATAACAGGTTTGATCTGTTAACTAATGTATTAAGGCAAGGATAGGAAAACTACTTCAATCTTTTAAATGGACTTGTTCTCTCTCTTCTTGTGAAATACTTTTGGATTCATGCTAAATCATCCACTGATCAAGTAGTTTTGTTTGTTAAAGGAAAGAAAGTAATCATAAATGAACAAATCATTGCAAGGTTTCTTGATCATGATGGAGAAGGAATAAGGTGCTATGAAGCTAAAACAGATGGTAAAATTTAGTTGAAATCTATCAAGTTATCTTCAAAAGTAAAAAGGCTTCAAAGACAGGTGGTTGTTAAGTGTCAACTTTTACATAAAATTCATATCAATTATTGACACTTTGGGGCCTTTTATTTTACTTTTGATTAGGTTAAATATTTATTGTAAGTCATTTTTTGTGAGTTCAAAGAATTGTGAATATTTAATTTATTTGTTAGTGTTTCAGCAAATTTATGCAGAAAAGATGGAAAAAGGTAGAATTTTAGCTTGCTAAGCAAAAGAAACAAAAGTGTTGATTCTACAAAGGATCGCTCGGTGATAGGATGCGTCGCCCGATGAAAATGGTGAAAAATAGAAGCTTCAATTCTGTATTGCTTCGCTCCCGGGTCGCTTGGCGAAAGGAGGATCGCCCGATGAAGCATTCTTGTCGCCAGGAGATGAAAGATACTCTTTTGGGGTTTTAACATGCCCAGCTGGTCATGTGTGGAATCTTTCCAGAATCGCCCGACGATACTTTATGGTCGCCCGACGATGGAGCGCAGACATGCCATACTTTTGGCTACTTTTTGCCACCTTTTATGGAAACTTTCCACCAACTTTTGTCTTGTGGAGGGAAAAAATCTGATTTGAGATATATAAACCTTTTGTTCTATGGATCATGACATTACAACATAGAAAATACTTTTTGTTCTTATCTCTTGATAAGGAGAAAAAGAAGAACACTCTTGCATCTTGAATCAAGGAGACTTGAAGATTGATGTTTATCAACATCCATTGTTTATTCATTGTGCAAGGTATCATGACAATGAGTAGATAAACACTTTTTGTGTCAAGGTTAGAAGTAGTCAACCTAGACTTAATGTATTTCTTTTAATCATTTTGTATATGAACTTGGTTGAAGATTAATACATGTTAAATATCTTTGTATCATTGTTATTTTTATGGTTTGGTTCATTATTGAGAAGTAAGTTCCAAACTTGACCTAAGATATTCATCTACTAATAAATAAGCTCTAGACATAGATTTGTGAGTTAGTATTCACTTGTATCAAGCTTTAAAGATTATCATGTTAATAGTTAGGTTGAGAGATCATTTAATGATTAACATGATAACACTCACAATATTGCGTAGACATGAGAAATATTGAGAGGATACGTGAATGTATTGATTATTGATTATTTCATATGCAAATTTAATCGAATAAATATGGAATATGTTGATGAAAAGTAATCTTGACATCCTTTTTATCAACACAAACATTTTCAAACAACAATCTCTCTATTATCCAAAGCTCTATCTTGTGCATGAAACTTAATCTTTGGTTACTAAAAGCAAACATTAAAAATTTGTTTATGATTCAAACACTTAAAGACACTCAAACTATAAAACTACATTAATATCACACCAATCCCTGAGGAAAACGATAATATAAATACTTTTGTTGAAAATACTACAAACAAAATGGCGTTGTTGCCGGGGATTGGCGTTTGACTATTGAAAGCATTGCAATAATTTAAGTGTTTTAAGTTATTTTTTATTAATAATATCTTTTTTTTAAACTTGTTTTGTTAGTGTTTTCAGACTTTAGATTATGCAAGGAAGTATTTCTGAAGATCAACTCCTATTTGAATCTAAAATCGAAAGGACTTGCAGAAAACTTAATAGCAAGACTAGACGAAGGAGGAAGCTGGCGAAAGAAAGAAGAGAAAGAGGAGAGGCGTCCACTTATACTATACCTTTTAATCAAGATATAGAAGAAGTTATTGCGACAAATCCACTAAGAGGTCCCTGTACAAATAGTCCAAGGTTAAATGCTCAGTTTGCTAGGAATGCGGATCAAAGGCATTCAGAAATGAAAACTGGAATTTTACAACTGTTGTATCATAACCCTTTCACTGGGTTAGATCATGAAGATCCTTACACCCATCTCACAAAATTCTATGAGATAACAGGTGCTATAGGATCTCCCTAGGAAGATGAAGAACAATTGTTTAAAAGATTATTTCCATATTCATTGATTGGTAAAGCTAAGGATTGGTATCTTGACTAATCTAATCACCTCATGACGAATTGAAATAGACTTGAAGAAAAATTTCTTGAAAGGGTTTCCCCACAATCACGTTTCTTGGAAGCAAAAACATATATATTGGTGTTCTCTCAAGGTGGAGCCAATTCATTGAATGAAGCTTGGGAAAGGTACAAATCTATGTTGAGAAAATGTCCAAGTCATGGTTTTGATGTGATTACCCAAATGCATATTTTTCGAAATGGATTACAACCACAACCAAAACTTTTGTTGGATGCTACGGTGGGAGGATCACTTATGGCAAAGACAACAGAAGAAGCGGTGGAAATTATTGAAAGAATGGAAAGGAATGACCATCAAGTCCAACATGATCGAAGTATGGTTCAAAAGAGAGAGGAAGCAAGTGATTCAAGATCAAATGAAGCTCTTTTATCCCAAAACAAATTGTTCGATCAACAAGTGGAAGAATTAACAAAGCAAATGGAAAAGCTCCCTCAACAACTAATAGAAATTCAAGAAAGACATAGCAATCAAAATCAACAAATTGCTAGTTGTGAGTTATGCAAGGGTGATCATCAAATCGGATTTTGTCCTCCGGTTGAAGAAGAAGTTAATTACATGGGAAATCAAGATCAAGGATACCAACAAAGGCAACCTTATCAAAATAACCAAGGTTATCATCAAAGAAATAACCAAGGTTATCAACAAGGGTGGAGACGAGATGCCAACAATTAAAATAGACAAAGTCCTTATCAAACCACAAATCAAAATTCACAACCTCAAGCTAGAAGTTCAAACTTACAAGACACTCTTGCTCAATTCATGCAAGCATCTATGGCAAATCAAAAGAGAAATGAAACGCCTATAAAAAATTTGGAGACTCAAGTGAGGCAACTAGCCAAGCAATTGGCCGATCAAAATGCCCGTTCATCATTTTCAGAAAATACTCAATCTAATACTAAGGAGCATTGCAAGGCAATAATAACTGGGACGAGTAGGGTAGTCAGAAATGGTCGTGGTAAAGAAGTTGAAATTGAGGAAATTGTTGAAGAAAAAAGAGTTTGAAGAGGCGATTGTAGTAGAAAATAACCATGAGGAGGAGTTAGTTGAAAAGGAGAAGTTAAGAAGAAACAAGAAGGAGAAAGTTGCTACTTTACCGGTTCAAAATTTTCCATATCCTCATGCTCCTTCCAAGAAGGATAATGCTAGGCACTATGCTAGGTTCATGGATATTTTTAAGCAATTGCGAATAAATATTCCATTTTCCGAAGCTATGGAACAAATGGCAAAGTATGAAAAGTTCATGAAAGATATCCTTACAAAAAAAGAGAAGATCAACGGATCAAGAAGTTATCATGGTTGATGCAAGTTATAGTGCTATCATTCAACAAACTCTACCGAAGAAGGAAAGTGATTCGGGAAGGGTTACTTTTCTGGTTACCATTGGTGATATTTATGTCGGTAAAGGATTGATTGATTTGGGTTCTAGTATTAATTTGATTCCTTTGTCTATTGTGAAAAGATTGGGGAACATTGAGATGAAGTCAACAAAGATGACACTTCAACTAGTCGATAAATTCATCACTCGTCCTTATGGTGTAGCACAAGACTTGCTAGTGAAAGTGGATAAATTTTTCTTCTCGACTGATTTTGTTGTGATTGATATGGAGGAAGACCATGATGCACCTTTGATTCTTGGTTGGACATTCATGAAGACCGCAAGAATGATGATTGACATTGATGATGGTTTAATGAATGTCCGAGTTCAAGATGAAGAAGTAAGTTTTAATCTCTTTGAAGCTATGAAACATTCTAATGATAAGGGAGCTTGTTTTAAAGTTGATGCTATTGAAGAAGCTATTTGGGATGTTTTTAGTGAATTTCATCTTTTAACACCTCTTAAGAGAACATTGAATAATTTTATTCAAGTTCTTGATGTTCATGAAGAAAAGGAGTTGGAGGAATGTGTGAAGGAACTTGAAGCTTTAGAAGAAATTCACTCTTGGGACAAAGAAGTTGAAATTTTGAAGAAAGAACCTAAAGAAGAAGAGTCCAAAATTGAATTGAAGATGTTTCCGTCTCATTTAAAGTATGCGTTTATTGATGATGGTGGTAACAAACCGGTAATCATTAGTAATTCTTTATCGGAGAAGGAAGAACATTGTTTAGTTCAAGTTTTGAAAGAAAATCAAAGTTCAATAGGTTGGGTTTTAGTGGATTAGAAAGGCATGAGCCCGACTTATTATACGCATAAGATTTTTATGGAAGAAAATTTCAAACCCATAGCTCAACCCTAAAGACACTTGAATCCAACAATGAAAGAAGTTGTGAGAAAGGGAGTGTGATACGGTGGCCAGAACCGAGACGTGTTTCCTTTTTTAAGGAACTGCTGGTTTGCGTTTTGCGTTTGCATTTGCAAAAATGTCGCGGTAAGCAAGAGTCGCCACCGTCTTTTATTTTATCCAACAAGGAAAGGAAAAAAGCACAGAAAAATTCCTTTTTCGAGATATTTCTGAGTACGGGGGTAGATTATAGAAAGGGAAGGTATTAGCACCCTTTTTATCCGTAGTTATCTACGGGCTCTTAGGTACTTGCTCATCATTTTCAAAATTGTTTTCTTTTGTGTTTG